AGAGAGAGAGAGAGAGAGAGAGAGAGAGAGAGAGAGAGAGAGAGAGAGAGAGAGAGAGAGAGAGAGAGAGAGAGAGAGAGAGAGCGAGAGAGAGGGCTTCACCCAGATCGACCACACGGGCATTGGGACTGTATCTAGACTGAAATTTGCCCCGAAAAAATACAGCTACAATGACTGGGCGGTCTATTTGGGTGAAGACGATGGTTTTACAAACTGGGTCACCCATCTGAGGATCCACCCCTACTGATATATTTCAGCTAGCTTACCACTCACCTAGTCTGATTCTCGACTAGATTCACGCTTTTTTTTCTTAGCATGGACATTAAATAGTGGCGACTTCTAGCCCTTAGCCAGTGAGCCAGGATGGTGGCATTAGGTCTCGCTCCACTCACTACTCACCACATCCACAAAAGACAAAACATATGGCGGTGTATCTTTCCATCTTCTAGCGGAAGATTCATTCTCGTTTTTGCACATTTGCTGACAGTAGTGGAGCTAGGCCCATAACTTTCATATCATCTGAATGCTTGCCCTGTCCTTTCCTGGGTTCCTTAAACTTCCTTCCTATCACCTGCATTCAAGCTGCTGCTGTTTTGTTTCTCTACCTTTTCCACCAATTTGCAGAATATTGTAGATTGGGCAGGATTTTTTTTTTTTTTTTTAATAACGAAACCCCACTGGATGTGTTAATGATGATGATAAGAGCTCCCACCGTTAACAGATTGGCCAGGATTTTGTCAGTAGCGGAGTGCAAATCTCCTTCTTCCCTTCAGCAAGGCGGTTGCTGCTTTTTTTTTTTCAAAGAAAGATCCAGGTTGTCGTAGAAGGTGGAGGCCAGGCCTCAGGAGGTGCCTGTAGTACTCATCCATTTAGCGGAATGGGCCACTTGTTTTGGTTTGGGTAGATTTCAATAGTGCCAGGAATTCGAAAAGTAATAACAAGAACAAGAATAGCGAGCCCAATAGCAGATTCTGCAGCAGCTACAGTTAATACGGATAAAGCAAATAATTGACCCATCATGTCATCTAGATACACAGAAAAGACTAAAAAGTTCAAATTGACAGCAAGTAACATTAACTCAATTGACATTAACATAATAAGGATATTGGGGTCAGATGGCTTGTGAGGACCTGGGGGAGTCGCCTCTAGGTGGCACCATGATGACATGGCCTATGCTCGTTTCTCTCTGTCTGCTTCTTCCTTTTTTTTTCTTTTTCGGTTGCGCTTCCTCTAGAGGAGAAGCGTGAGAGACAGGAGAAGACAGGGGATGGCTAATCACACTACAACTGCACAGGCGAGGCTGGCGTAAGGCCGCACTCGGGTTTCCTCACTGCCAGAGTCATCAGGATTTTTGGCCAGCTGCTCCTCTTTCTACCTTCTTCATCCGAATACAACGTCCGGGCATTATTTGTGTATTTAGACTGCAAGATACCCCAAATACATACAGCTATAATGACCGTACGTTCTATTCGCGTGAAGAGAAGGTAGCGCCGCCGACGCAGCAGCATTCGTAGTTCGCACAGAGGTAGAGAGAGAGAGAGAGAGAGAGAGAGAGAGAGAGAGAGAGAGAGAGAGAGAGAGAGAGAGAGAGAGAGAGAGAGAGAGAGAG